GTTTTTCAAAAGCATTTTTCTGCAAATAAGTAGTCTCTGCCTTGCCTTTGACATGAGCTTAGTTGCTGAATGAATTGCTTTGTTGGACAGTGAGATAAGATTATAACAGAGTCTGTAATAACGATGCCAATCATGAATGGCAGGAAGGCTGTTATTCTTGGACTGTTGTATTTGTAAATCATGCTAGATTTCCCACGCCTTAATCTAAAAATGCCACCTTGTCAGTGGTAGAAGCTTACATTTTTAGTTCCCAAGAAAAGTATTTCATAAAGAACTTTCTTTTCTTCTTCATTGTGTAATAAAAAAGTTCCAGGAAAGATTCATATTATCTAAAGAATCATTCAGGTGGCATTTTCACTTCTGTACCTAACCCTGTATGAGTCAGGCAGTTACCACATTCTCTTATGTGTAGAATGATTCTTACTTGTGTTGGAGGTTGTTGTTGTTTTGCTTTAGTTTTCTTTTTGCTTGAATTAGAAGCACATGTTCTAAGATAGGCTAAGGAGTGTGTTTGGGAGCTCTGTGGCCAGGGGACAGACCTCTAAGGAGGAAGAGGCAGGTTGGAGGACTAGTTCGGCGTGAGGAATCAGCCCTTCAAAATAGGAAGACTTGAAGTTAGGTATTAAAAAAAAAAGAAAAAGGGAAGTGTTTCTAGACATTCTATACATCTTCATGGAATTGATGTGTTCTTAAGGGTAAAACACCAAACAGAATAAATCAGATTTTGTGTTTCATTTGCCTTATATTTTCAGAGATGTTTCATTTTTTTATCCTGAGAAGGTTGCTTCTTATATTTTGGTTTAAAATTTTTCTGTCCCTTTGCTAAACACCCCAGTGACTAAAAAGCAGAATAGTCACCACTTTGTAGCTATAAAGGGACTGTGGACTGTTCCTCTATAAGAAAATGACCTATTTCAAAGTATGTTCCTATGTAAGGTCTAATTGTGAATTTAAGAATCTAAAAGCCAGAAATAGTAGCTAATATTTTGTAAATAACCACTTAAATGAATCAATATTTAAGGGGACACTTTAGGAAAATTATAAGGAAATTATAGGCAAATTTGGATTTAGAAAGAACATCAGATTATTTCACTCCATCATGGCAGTTGAAAGATAAACAAAATGAGGCTGAGAGAAATTAAAAATGTGTCGTAAATATTGTTGAATGAGCTAGCTGTGAAATCCTGGTCTCTTGAATGTCATTTCTGGAGCTCTCTTAAATATGCTTGGTATCTCCTGTAATATAAGTACTCATAACCAAATCTACCTATTTTGAAATACAAGATTTTTTTCCAAACCAGAAAAATGTCTTTAATCGTAAATTGTCAATTGTAATAAAGTAGCAAGAAAACCTAAAATATGACTAATTTCCTCGATCAAAAAAGAAGTTCCAGGGCTTCCCTGGTGGCGCAGTGGTTGAGAGTCCGCCTGCCAATGCAGGGGACACGGGTTCGTGCCCCGGTCCGGGAAGATCCCACATACTGCGGAGCGGCTGGGCCCGTGAGCCATGGCCACTGAGCCTGCGCGTCCAGAGCCTGTGCTCTGCAACGGGAGAGGCCACAGCAGTGAGAGGCCCGCGTATCGCAAAAAAAAAAAAAAAAAGAAGTTCCAAAAGGTTAAACTCATTTGAAAGAATAACATGTTATAAAAGGATTTATTATATATCATAAATTTTAATTATAAAACACTTTCACAGGTGTTTTATGTACCCTTTGTTTAAAAAAAACTGTGAGGTGATTGACTATTAACTGCGTTTTGCAGATAAGAATCCTGAAGCTCAAAATTGAAGAGGTACATCTGAGACAGCAGGATTGGGTAGTAGGTCCAGGTCTTCTGACAGCAAATCCCAGCGCTCTTGTCACTACTTCCCAGTTTGTTCCTCAGTGGATAATAGACCCACTCTTCTTCACCTGCATTCATTATCTCTCAGATTTCATTCCAGTTCAGGAAATAATAATGAGCATTTTTTAAAACCAAAGAGGTTGTAGTAGGGAATTTCCAAAATAATGTTGCAGCTGGGGAAATACACCTAGAAAGACTAGTTAGAAGGGCAGCATGCTGGACGTTGGGATGGGTAGGGGCAGCTGGCATGCTCCAGCCACCTCCTACTGGCTCTCAAGAGACAATTGTTAAATTTACAGTGATTTTGCTGTTTGTTAAATAGCCATTATTAAAAATGAAATTGCATAAACTTATAACTGAGCATTATGTTAAAAACAGATATAGTAAACATGAAAGACTTGTCACATCTTAATTTTACTGCATTTTACTATTATCTATGTGGTGTTTTTTTTGATTTTTTTTTTTTTTTTTTTGCGGTTCGCGGGCCTCTCACTGTTGTGGCCTCTACCGTTGCGGAGCACAGGCTCCGGGCACGCAGACTCAGCGGCCATGGCTCACGGGCCCAGCCGCTCCGCGGCATGTGGGATCTTCCCAGACCGGGGCACGAACCCGTGTCCCCTGTATCGGCAGGCGGACTCTCAACCACTGTGCCACCAGGGAAGCCCTATGTTGTTGATGTTATTTACATGTCTGGTATCTGTATGGTGGAAATGCTGTGTAATGCCATCTGCTCTTCCCAGTCCTGCACTGGTAGTTTGGAATCAACTATGGTGGAAATATTTATACCATGACAATCACAAATGCTAAAAAGTTATTGATTTGTTCATTGTCTAGACTTAAAAATATTAATATTTTTCATATTAGCAATGCAGATTAAATTTTAAATTGTTTTGTATCTGCAGCTGTTACATTGTAAATAGCACATAAAATTGAAAAAATATTCTTTTAGTGTTTGAAAACTGCTATCCGATTTAGCAAAGAAATTACTCATGTCATTGAAAATGAAATGACGTCTGACAGACATCCTTGTTGTTTTACTTTAGACTCACCCTATAATATAAAAAATATATATATCAGCCAACATCTATGTCAGAACTACACTCATTTGTCAATGAGTGGACATTGACATGAGGACTTCTTTTTTGAATCAGATTGTAGTCAAACATTTATCCATAGTCCAATTTTGTGGCATTATTGTTGGGAACAGAATGAAAATGAAACTGATGGTGGATTTTATAGGAAACAGCAAGCTGCGCTGAAGTCATTGGAATGGAATTTACGATGATGATTATTATATATTTTATCGTTATTTGTAAATCATGTTGCTGTATGTTTTTAAAGCAGTGAAATTTATAATAATTTTTTTTCTTGGAGAGTCAGTTGTTGAACCCTTGTCAGCACACCATGGATAGAGGGCATGGTTTGTTGGAAAGATTAGTGCTCTTTGCAGACGAGAATGCAAGAGAAATCCATTCTTGTCCCTTTGTAGTTTTCCTTCAACACGAGCTCTAAGTCTAAATAATGATCCCAGTTTTATGTAATAGACCTCTGTGACCTTTTCCTATAGTGTATGGGGAGGGTCTCTTTTCTATTTGTAGCATCACAACTTCAAATTCCAGAATGCATTTTACATTGTAAAAAGTAACCAACTTACACAGACAAATGGAGGACAAAAAAGCTATCATTAGTTGTAGGGAAACTTCTGGTGTTGGCCCCAATATTCTATCTCAGCTCTGTCCTTTATTTCACTTTCCTAGTACCCAGTACCTAGTACAATGATTCTACCTTCTGGAAATAAAACCCAAAGCTCTGGTGCATTTTTGGTCCTTTACTCCATTGATGTGACTTCTCCAGAATCAGTCATAATTTATCTGTCTTTTATTCTATCCCCTTGGAGCTCTGCATTATATTAGGTTACTGCAATAATAGTGGCCAAGGACTTACTGCTATCCCATCTTCGAGTAATACATATTTACATTAACACATACTAATTCTCTGGGAATTCTTTAACCCCAATGGATAACTCAAGGGCTGGGATTCTAAGAATTGTGGCATAATGGTAGTTAGTGGTGGTGGATATTCAATAAGTAATTGTGGATTGATTGATAGGATTCCCTTCTAGACTCTTTCAGTCATACCAATTCCAACTTCTCCTGCACTGACAGGCAAATTAGTCTTATGATCCCTTCTTCTCCTTTTTATTGACTTTTGATTTCAAATTAATTTATATAAAATCTAAAATTACAGATTGAACATCTACTAGTTTTCTCATAAAGCTATCTTTGGTTTTAGAACTGGCTTGCTTTGCCATTCATATATGGGGTTTAGCTTGTACTGCAGTTAATCATACTTAAGTTCCATTTGTAAAGGCCTTGATGAGGCAGCAGAAATGTCGAAAGAGAAGAAGAAATCATGAGATGCCACGGTCTTTTGATTTCCAGTTGAAGAGTGGAGGTTAGTTATAGGTCAAAGTGAATGAAGCGTTATTTTGTGGTCTCAAGAAGCTTGCTAAGGTAAAATAGGGGAATCTTACTGAGAACACATTTCTACTTTTAAAACTTCCATGGCTCCTGTAAGATTTAAATAGGAAAATCAGGGTGTTACGTATTTTTAATACATGAAACAGGTAACTGAATATGAGCATTGCAGAGAGAGGTGGGTTAAGTAAAGTGCTTTGTAAACAGCAGCCTGATTTCCAATCCTAGCTCTGCCTCCTCAGTAAACTTAATTAGTTTCTCTTAACCTCAATTTTATTATTTGTAAAATTGGAGATTATTTACAATGTAACTACTTTATTGGATTGTTTTAATTATTAAATAAGATAATAAGTACAGAGTGCTTAGCAAAATTTCCACTCACAGATATTGATGACAACGTGTTGCCAAGAGGGTTTCCATGATGCAAAACCTTATCGAGGAGACAAGTTGGGGAACTGTTTCCCTTCAGAGAATCTTTTATTTCATGGGCCGTATAATGACTTTCTCTATTATACTAAAATGGTGTTATTCCATGAAAATATTTAAATTAACTGCAAATAGATTTAGCTACTTTAAAGGTTATTTGTTGAGTTTTGAAGAATTGCTCAAAAATTTTTATTATGTGCAATTTGTGAAGGTGGAAATTATTGAATTTCGTTGAGAATTCTCTTTCTGTTACAGAGATCGTGAAGATCTGAGGACAGTGCAGCACATCTCAGGGGAAGGTTATGATACAAAATGCTGTGGTCTGTCATGGTGCGTGGTTTAACTCCAAATTCAGCCAAAGAGTTTCCATTTTATATCCATGTGTTCTGGGAATTTAAACTTTTTTAATCCGATTAAATGTTATTAATATTGTTATATTTTATCATGGTGCATTCTGTAGCTATTCTTGAAAGAGTTATCTCTTCCTTTTACTAGAAGTAATTTTCTATATTATCAAGAGATAAAAGGTCACATAAATGTAAAGCTTTTCCAGAATTTATTGCTTAATCTTAGCTATACTAACAGATTGTAATTGGGAAGTGAATGCAAAGACTAAGATTATCAGACCTCACTTACCTGGTCTGGTGAACTCTCCCCCACTTCCCGCCCCACTGGGACATTATTTTCTGCAGTTTGCTCCTTGGAAGTCTGGGGGTATGCCATTACAGAGGGTCACCTCGGAGGTCCAAGTAGTTATGGAAATACTGCTTTCGGAGATTTATGAAGCATGTCAACACATTAAAATCTCTAAGAAGTCCAGTAAAGCAAGTTGTTTGTGCCAGTGTTTGCCTCTTTGATTGCATAATACATATACCTTGTATTATTTGTTTGATGAAACATGTTTTAGGAAGCTTTACCCTGGATTAGAATTCCTCAGCCAGAAGCATGAAAAAACCTGAAATTGCTTTTAACAAAGTCCTTAGAGTTGATTTGGAATGAGAAGAATTGGGTTTGAGACTTTATGCTGTAATTTTACAGCTAGGTAACGTTGGGTAAGTTATTTCATTTCTCCAAATCTCAGTTTCCTTTTCTTTAAAAGCATAAAATACCTAATACTTATGTACAGGTTTTTATAAATATTATGTAACAATGTTAGTGAAAATAATACATAAAACAAATGGATGATATTTACTGACTCAAATACTTCCCTTATAGATTTTTGGGGGCCTTATTTAACACACTTTGGGCCTTATGCACATGTTAATGAACTTAGGTCTCCAGTGTCTCAGCCCATGATAAACTAGAATTAGGAAAAATGACTAGAAAGCTACTGAGGCTGTTATGGAGCAGTGGCAATAAGACCAGCAATCCCCAAACTGAAAAGCAGACTGGCTATATCGATACATGGCGTAATAGCCAGTTTTTACAGTTCATCAAGAAATGGTTAAACGATGATAGGAGTCCTCCAATTAAAAAAGGTAGGGTATGGGCTTCCCTGGTGGTGCAGTGGCTGAGAGTCCGCCTGCCGATGCAGGGGACACGGATTCGTGCCCTGGTCCGGGAAGATCCCACATGCCGCCGAGTGGCTGGTCCCGTGAGCCATGGCACCTGAGCCTGCGCGTCCGGAGCCTGTGCTCTGCAACGGGAGAGGCCACAACAGTGAGAGGTCCGCGTACCACAAAAACAAAACAAAACAAAACGAAAAAGGTAGGGTATAATATTTTAGGAAAAATACCATAATGTAGCTCCTTTAGATGAGGATCCCTGTTATCCATATTTGAACATCTGGTTCTTGTTCTGAGGTCAGGACATACTGAGATCTCTAAATTTCTAATTAAAATTTTTTTTTCAGTATTAGTTGACTGATAATTATTTTTTGGAGCTACTCTTTCCCTGAAAATCCTAGATTGATGTTTTTTAAAAAAATTGTTGTCAAACGTGTCTGATTGTTTATGTAGATTTTATATATATACATATATAGTACAATATATAATACAATATATAACATGTATACAATTAACAGTGAAAGTATAGGAATCATATTTATTCATATGAAATATATTTGTGATATTGAGTGTATAAAAATCAGGCTATCAAATAATGTAAAAATATATTTGTTTAAAAATATGTATGCAAAGAATATAAATCTGGTAGGAGAATAATTGGCCGAAAAATTAGTGTCTGGGTAGTGAGTTTATGGTGAGTTTTTATTTTATTGTATTTGCTTATCTTTATGTTCCAATTTTTCTGTAATTCATGCCAATGTGGAATATTTCATACCAACATAACCAAAAATAAAATATTCACTCTGATATTTTACCTTAGTCCATTTGGATTGCTATAACAGTATACCAGAGAATAAGTAGCATATAAACAAGAGAAATGTATTTCTCGCAGTTCTGGAGGCCAGGGAGACTAAGGTCAAGGTACTAGCAGATTTGGAATCTTTGAGGGCCCACTTTCTGGTTCTTAGACAGTGCCTTCTTGCTGTGTCCTCACAAGGTGGAAGGGGAGAAGGATCTCTGTGGGGTCTCTTTCGTAAGAACGCTAATCTCATTAAGGAGGGCTCCTCCCTCATGACCTACTCACCTGCGAAAGGACCCCCCTCCTCATATCATCACATTAGGCGTTAGGATTTCAACACGTGACTTTGGGGGGGACACAAATATTCAGACCATAGTACTGACCAAAAGAATCGAGCAGAACAAATGGTAGCCTTTACATGACAGTCACTCAGGAGCGTGAGGATATGTCCTTTAGTCACCTCTGTGTCTCTCTGGCCCTCTGCCTACCTGCCTCCCTGAGTGCCTACCTGCGTACAGTCTCAGAGGAGATGATAGGCTGTTACACCTCCAATCAATCAAGTTCTTACCTGAATGAATTTTCTAAGAGAAGAAAACATATACATCAGCAGAACTCTGAAACCTCTTAATCTTAATATCCCCACGGGACTCTTCAAGAAGTTTCCAACTCCTATATTAAACAGTTGAGCAAAATGAATTAAAAAAATAGAGAGTGAGTAAGAAAGGACATTGAAAACTGTAAACAGTTTTGTAGATTGTCTTTCCACTGAGCTCTTCAAGCAAATGTGGCTCTAAACTTTTAATGATTATTCAGTAGGTATTGATGTGGTACTCTCAGTGACATAATAGAGATACAAAAATTTCTCAACATACCATCTCTTACAGATATATCTTGAAAGTTACCAAGAAGGACTCATCAAATATCACCTGAGTGAGACAGTCCTGAGAGCATAACCCATGAATATAATTCATCTGAGATAGCACTTAACTCCAGGTAAGAGATAAATGACATAACCAATAATGTATATAGTTCTTAAGAAACTTCGATCATTCTCCTTTATTCAAGCTCTCCTTTGTCAGAGAGAACAAAATCATAGGCTAAAAGTTACTTTCCTGTAACTCCTACAGAGCACCCTGCTGTTGGTCATTGTGTTTATATTTAATGATGAGGAGGTAGAGGAAGGCTCTTGGGTTTATATCACTGTCAGATTGTTAATTCATTTAAGGTTTTTGTGATTTGTTGCACTTAGGAAATTAATGAATTTTTTATGCTACACTGGTATGAAGCCTTAGGGCTAGTAGGCTAATTACTGGTCATAAGTGGAAGGACAGTCTATACACACTTAAAGCCACATATTCCAAAAGGTAGGTAGTTTCCATATGCAAACAAATTATATGAATACATAATTTTAAAAAACAGATACTTTGATGTCTTTTTATTGATTATCAAAGGGGAACTAAAAATCCAATATTATTTAAAACCTTGTCTTAGGCTTGACTTTATGCAGACATTTCTATCCCTCACATTCTCTTTTTATTTTTGTTTGTTTTTTGCTGACTAGCCAGATGAAATGTGGATTTGCACCAGTAACCCTGGTCAGAGATGAACAAAAGGATGCACAGTCTATACAGATTCTCCTCTTGTTCTCTTCCTTAGCTCGCTGGCTTTGCTTTTCTGTTGCTTTCGTTCTATCTCCTTTTTTCCCCTCTGTCTTTGATTAATTTTTGTTCTCCTTGGACCCCTCCACTCCTTTTCTTTTTATTTTCTCAAGTGCTTCTCTTGTGTCCTTCTTACTTCCTCATTTCTCTTTTTCACCGTGATTCTTTTTTCCCCCGACATCACCCTCCAGGTCCTGTTTTCTCATCATCCCCTCACAGAAGTGCCTAGTAGTCCCCCTCCACACATTATTGTTTCTTTTCTGTTCCATCACCTCTCTTTCTTTTGATCCCCATGGAGCCAATTTGACACTTTCATCCGTGTGTACACTGAGACAAGGCTCATTTAGATTTGTCTGGTATTAGCAGCAGAAGAGAGTTTTATTTAGAGCAGGGGACATGAGGTACAGTGAGTGTCTCTAGTGTCTGGCTTAGCTGAGATCTGGCTTCTTGCCAGTGTCAGGAATCAGTCAATGTTCTGGAAAAGTGAATTTCGGTTGCAGGGGCCAGGGTGATGTGTGAGGCCAGCTGTGGTAGGTGAGGCGACAGGGATTGCACCCTACAGATCTGCAGGTCCTGGGGTGACTAGGTGTGTTTCAGTGCTGAAGGGCATCATGCTGACTATAACAGGCAAAGTGATAATCCCTGTCTGCTCCATCATTCAATTTATGCCACATATCATTGCCAAAAGAATTGACCACTTTTGCTGCTTTAATCTCCCCTCTCTTGAACCTGGTTCAGAAACTCCAGTTACTGCTTTGTGCAAGCCTCTACTCTTTAGCACCTTGCCTGCCACCACACCACATGGAAGCCGTGTCTTCCCTCTGCACTCCCCACACCAAATTTTCTTCCTTCTTTCACTTATACTCTTTGCATATATTTATTTGACCTTTTCTCTCAAAGTGTCCTTCTCACTTTTTGAGAGACTCAGGCCAGCTTTTTTTCGGAGGATTTGTTGCACTTAAGCAGCACCATCCACAATCCCCAAATCTTCAGCACGCTTGTAAAAGCTCATCATTGTGCTTTTCCTACATATTAATTTTAATCCCATCTTCCCTTTTTTCTCAAATTGTAAGCTCTGTGAATACACTTTGCACCTATCCTGCCTATATCTAATAAATACTAAAGGATATAATTTCACTTTTGATGAGGATATAATTTCACTTAAAAAAATTTTTGTGATTAAAGCAATCTTAGTGTTTCTACTGTTGTGTATAAGTAAAAGTACTTATAGAAGGCAGTGATTTGGTAGGATTTTATAATATTATGTTTAATTTTTAAGGATTAAATATTCTTACCCATGCTCCTTTACCAGAAAAAGTGCTGGTAAAAAATACATTCTTTGCTGGCCAGGGTCTCCATCCAAAGTCTTTTTTTTTTTACATCTTTATTGGAGTATAATTGCTTTACAATGGTGTGTTAGTTTCTGCTTTATAACAAAGTGAATCAGTTATACATATATATATGTTCCCATATCTCTTCCCTCTTGCATCTCCCTCCCACCCTCGCTATCCCACCCCTCCAGGCGGTCACAAAGCACCGAGATGATCTCCCTGTGCTATGCGGCTGCTTCCCACTAGCTATCTACCTTACGTTTGGTAGTGTATATATGTCCATGCCTCTCTCTTGCTTTGTCACAGCTTCCCCTTCCCCTTCCCCATATCCTCAAGTCCATTCTCTAGTAGGTCTGTGTCTTTATTCCTGTCTTACCCCTAGGTTCTTCATGACATTTTTTTTTCTTAAATTCCATATATATGTGTTAGCATACGGTATTTGTCTTTCTCTTTCTGACTTACTTCACTCTGTATGACAGACTCTAGGTCTATCCACCTCATTACAAATAGCTCAATTTCGTTTCTTTTTATGGCTGAGTAACATTCCATTGTATATATGTGCCACATCTTCTTTATCCATTCATCCGATGATGGACACTTAGGTTGTTCATCCAAAGTCTTGAAGTCAAGTCCTTTCACATGCTTCAAATGAGTGCCTTCAAGAGCGGTCTGTTGGTGGAACAGTCCAATAGCCCTTGTGGTTTGGGCCATTCACCTCTTTCTAGGTGGTGTCAGGGGCTCTTTTCATGTTTTTAAAAGGCTTTTGTTTTTGTCCTCTGGTATAATTTCCTGGATTGGTTTTTAGACACTATCTTTAATGTCAGAATCAACTGGATATTTCAAGTACTTTAATGAATAGTTGCTAGGAGAAACTGATGTTTTGGGTCCTTAATAGACATGTAAATAGACATGTTTCCTATAATACCCATGTCCTTCTCAGAAAGTATGTTCTAATAGCCACTGTTGAGTGGACAGCCACCCATGTGACACTCACTCCAAACTAGCCACAGCTTAACATCAGTGGTCTGTTAAACTGTTCCCTCTCCTAGAAATATGGAGGTGGGACACAGGTCTTCTCCCTAATCAGCATTTAAATTTGTAAAGGATGTTAAGCCCAAACTGGGAGTAGTAGTCTTTGCCTCACATGTAAATGGGTAGATAAATCTGGACAACACAGAAGGAAGATAATAGAGACACAAAAGACAGAAGTAGAGATAAGACCTCATGGCGTGAGGGACAGACACACTATACAGAAATACAGAGATAGAGGGAGACGGGTCAGCCAGTAGGGGGAAAGAGAAAGAGGGAGGGAGGGAGGGAAAGAGAGAGAGGAGGGTTAGAGGGAAGGAGAGACACACACATGGAATAGCCTCAGATCCCAACAACTCATCAGTTCCTGATTCCACAGCCACCCCCCCAAACTCCCCCTCCCTGCTGAGGACAGAGGCAGAACCCTTGTGCTGAAGCCAGGTTGAATTGGTTCTATTCTATGTATCCAAAAGATTCTAACACAAGATAGAGCCTTCCTTTAATCTACACATGTCTAACTCAGAACAACTTGTGTCGTAACAGTTGCGTGTTCCTGCTGTGAATTAAGGTTCATGAGTTCTGTCTTGGTATTTAATAAGTTGCTAAAGCTCATTAGCAGTCATTATCCTAGTAAATCCACAATGAGGATTTTTTTGCTGAATGATATTGAAACATTACTGCCAACTTTTGTAATTTTGGGTTCTTTATTAAATTCATTGGTTGATCAAAATAATTAATCAGTGTTTAAAAAGAATTATCTAAAAATAAGTAACGTTAACAATGACAAAAACCCAAATGGTGGTCCATCGTGTTCTAAAGCATCTATGTAAACCATGTATTTTTTCCATGAAACTAAACAGTGATTTGTTTTAAATTTAATTAAACCAAGTAAGCAAATAATTATTTGTCATATTGTCATACTAATTTAATGTTTTAAATTACAATTTCATTGGCTTTGTAATTTTGCTATCATTTAACATAAAATTGTTTATTTTAGCTCTGTAAGAGCATAAGCATAAGAACTTTATACCTACTTTTATGTTTGTACATATACATATAATATTAGGAAAATAATGTATGTAATAGTGGGTTGTCTAATATTTTTCCCTTCAAAGAAGTTCCATGCATTATTCAAATTTAAGAAATTTTGAATTAAGTAGTTGTTTTCTAAATGAAAGTTTTTCTTGATTCACTTTACTTTTTCAATTTTTTAAGGTAAAATTCCTAAATTTATCCATGTGCACTCAATATTTACATACCCTGTAGTGGTCTTTCTTAAGGGTCAAATAAGTTTGTTTTGAACAGTTATGTGGAATTTCTCACTCTCTCTCTGCATTTTCTTCAGTAATTTCAATCTTTTGTCTGAAAACCAGGAGGCAGTTGGTCAGTTCTTCTGGTTTGGACACTGTATCAGCGAGGCCAAGTTTATGGGGTGAAGATAGGAAGTTAAGTGGTTTCCATTTGTGATTACTTGCTGTGCACAGCAGCTGGCCCCCGCTCCTGGACATGTTGCACTATGATTCATAGGAGCACCAGGTACAAATAATCCATCCCAGCTACAGGTAAAACAACTCATATTATTGGACCCAAAGCTGCAGTTCAGCATGCCACTGTGACTTACAGAAAACTGATGCAAGTAGCACAAATAAAATGAGAGATCATCATACAGATATATATATATATCTAGATATATAAAGATATATATCTAGATATATATATTTCAAGGAATTGGCTATATGACTGTGGCCCGGCAAGTCTAAAATTTGTACGGCAGGCCACAGCATCTGATGCTGCAATCTTGAGGAAGAATTTCTCCTACAGGGAAATTTGTTTTGCTCTTAAGTCCTTTCCACTGATTGAATGAGGTCCACCCACATAATCAGGGATAATCTTCTTTACTTAAAGTCAACTGATTGTAGATCTTAATGAGATCTAAAAAAGCGCCTCTACAGGAACACCTAAATTAGTGTTTGTT